CCCCAACCTCATCGCCCATCAGCGGACTCACACGGGGGAGAAACCGTACTCGTGCCCTGAGTGCGGCAAGAGCTTTGGCAACCGGTCCAGCCTGAACACCCATCAGGGGATCCACACGGGAGAGAAGCCCTACGAATGTAAAGAATGCGGCGAAAGCTTTAGTTACAACTCCAACCTCATCAGGCACCAGAGGATCCACACAGGAGAGAAGCCGTACAAGTGCCCCGACTGCGGACAGAGGTTCAGCCAGAGCTCGGCCCTCATCACCCACCGGAGAACTCACACGGGAGAAAAACCTTATCAGTGCAGCGAGTGCGGGAAGAGCTTCAGCCGCAGCTCCAACCTGGCCACGCACCGGAGGACCCATCTGGTGGAGAAGCCCTACAAGTGCGGGGAGTGCGGGAAGACCTTCAGCCAGAGCTCCAGCCTGATTGCACACCAGGGGATGCATACGGGCGAGAAGCCCTATGAGTGCCTGACATGTGGGGAGAGCTTCAGCTGGAGCTCCAACCTCATCAAGCACCAGAGGATCCACACAGGTGAGAAGCCCTACAAATGCAGTGAGTGTGGGAAAGGCTTCAGCCAGCGCTCCCAGCTGGTGGTGCACCAGAGGACCCACACGGGTGAGAAACCCTACAAATGCCTCATGTGCGGCAAGAGCTTCAGCCGGGGCTCCATCCTGGTCATGCATCAGAGAGCCCATCTGGGAGACAAGCCATACAGGTGTCCTGAGTGCGGGAAAGGCTTTAGCTGGAATTCAGTCCTCATCATACACCAGCGAATCCACACCGGGGAGAAGCCCTACAAATGCCCCGAGTGCGGCAAAGGCTTCAGCAACAGCTCCAATTTTATCACACATCAGAGAACTCACATGAAGGAAAAACTTTACTGAAGGGGCAGAGAGGGAAGGTGAGGGACTGGCCCAGGAGGGCACTTGCCACTCTGCCCCCAGACAGGGATGTGTCTGCAGAAGAGCCATTCTTCCTAAAGGCTTGTTGGGGATCTTTGCCAGAATCTTACCCCTGCTCACCCTCATTTCTAGGATCCCATCATCTTAGTGGTCAGAGTCAAACCCCAAGAACAGAGCATAGGAATGGAAGGTCGGAAAGCTGGGGCTTTTTCTGTCACGTTTCTTGACTTGATTGGCTCCTTCTCTCTCGATCCTCTGTGCCCCAGTTTCCTCTTAGGTAGAACAGGGGGGATATTTCTCCGTGTGGAATGGAAGACAGCATGGCCCGCATTTTAGAGAAATACCAGAAACCTGTTGGCGTTGTCTGGTCATTCTGCTGCCAGTTGTTGGGCTAAGGTGCCTTAACCCGAGCTGCTAGCATCCCAGGGCCCCTGCCATGGCAGAACTGGCCCTTCCTGCCTTTGTGTCCTGGGGTTTGATTTCGGGAAAGGTGGAGGGGCTTCTCCAATTCTGAGTCATCCGCATGAAGCTAAAGCCCTTTTCTCGTTCTAGAAAGTGTCAGGAACACTGAAACACGAGGGAGTCTGGCCCAGAACCAGTGTCTCAGTACCTTTCCATTGATAGGAGTTGCCCAGAGCCTGCCAGGGAAGGCATAAATGGAGGAGATGTATGTGTTTGCTCTTGTCTCTGCTTTCTGTCCTGGGGTAAGTCGGCTGTGGGTCGGCGGGGACACATTTATTCTTGCAGGGTTTCAGTTTTTGAGTGTGAGGTGAAGTCAGAGCCGCCAGCTGCCTCCCCCTGGTGGATGGTATTTCTGTCTTGTTCAGGGTGAAACAGTCCTGCACTCTGCAGGGTCGCCTTGTGTCTTTACCGCCCAGATACATGATCCCGTAATCATCACTCTGTGCACTTGTCGTTTTTATCTTATATATACAGATCTAGAATTCTGTCTGGTAGCTTTTGTATACAAAGAATGTTATTTTTAAGGAAGTGTTGATTTTGAGGACACATCACCTGTACCCTGGAGAGATTTGGGCTTGAATCAAGAGTTGTCCTACAGATGTCGCCCTTGATCTTGGGATGCTACCGGGGCTTTGTTCTTAGGTCCTTGAGCTGTGAAACAGTAAAGACCGGATGATAGCAGGTGAAGGGCTTTGTTAGGAGGGAAGAGGAGGGTAAATAGGCTTTTCTCTCCTACACGTAGGGCCTGCCTTCAGAACGCACCTTGGTTCTTACAGGGTGGATGCTCCAAATTGCCTAATAAAGTAGAGTCCCACTCTTTTCCTGAGTCTGTCTTTTCACATGTGTTAAAAACCCGAACTTGACAAACCCATATCTCACTTCCCCACCCCACTCACCTCCTGCCCCAGGCTGGAAGTGGTCCAAGACCTTTAGGGAGAAAGAAATCACTTGCTTCAAAGAGCACACCTTTGGGTGAACCCAGTCCTGTGTGCTTGACCAGTGCATCCACCTCTCCACTGCTCTTTGCTAACTCTGCGTCCAGTCTGTCACCCAACACTTGGAGCGGCAGCTTTGGCTAAGGTGCCAGATGATTCCCAATGGTCTCCTTGGGAGGCCGTCTCCATCCAGAATCAACTAAGTTAGACACAAGGAAGCTCTGGGCAGTAGCAGTTGTTAACACCAAACCACGTAGGCTATGAAATCCCCGTCACCGATTCCATTCCTTCACTTACAGGGCAAACATTTACTGAGGGCTTGTGTACCATCACCATGCTAGGTGCTGGAGAAAGGTTGTGAACAAGAAGTTCCGTTACCCATCGTCATGCCGCTTTACTAGGAGAAAGATTTCCATCTGTCTGGGAAGATAAAAGAGCTGCCCTGCCTGTAAGGGAGAGTGGACAGGGGGGTTTCCTAGGTGGCATTCAGTTCTGGAATTTGGGTTGTAGAAATGGTGGTTTTTCTCTCTCCCTTAAGCTCAACTTGAGAAAAGAATTGATATTAAGGTTTTTAAACCTTTCTAACTAAATTTCTTTTTTTTATTCCTCCCTACCTGTTATAAACACAAAATGTCCTGGAAAGAAAGGAAACCAGATTAGCTGAAATTGCAGAATTAGACTGGAACCAGGTTGGGGAAATGACAAATGGTGGTTCTAGAAAGGTTGAGAGCCCACTGCTTCCTGTCCTGCTTGCACCTAGAGGGGGTCTGCAGAGGCAAGGAGGGGTCTTCATGCCGGATGTGTTGGATGGAAGGACACGGCCTTCGTCCCCTAAAAAAACGTCACGAAGCCCCAGCCCCCTTGGCAGATCTGCCTCTGCCACATCTTTGTTCACAACTCAATTACACCTGTGTCTCTGTAACAAAGACTATTTCCCCTTCAAGGTACATGTATTTAGGGACCGAGTTTTTGTTACCAGTTTGTTTCTAAGTTCATGGGAACAGCCTTGGGACCATTAAAAACCTACAGTAAATGGTTTTTTTTTTAAAGGCATCTGCTTTACCCTCAGCGTGGCCCCCAGGTCCACCTCAGCAAGTCTTTCACGTGACTTTGGTCACTTCCCTCTCCCAGGCCCCGCAGTGGCCACCCTGTACCCATTGGTCCTCAGACCCACGCCAGCCCCCAGGCTCTGCTCACCTCTGAGAACCTTGAACCTGCTAAGTGTGGCCTCCCTCAGTGTCCCAACCAGCAAACTTCTGTGTATCAAACCCTGTCACTTCCTTGCCTCCGGGCTCAGCCGAGATGTGTGCTTTCGGTTTAATAGTCATCTGTCTCCACCTGTCACTTGCCTCCACCTCCCTCCAGGACTCAGGACCTTGCTCATCTGCTATTTCCTCTCTCTATTTCCAGTCTATCCCTCTCTACTGGCTTCTTCCTGCAACTTACCTCCTGCCCTTGTTCCTAGAGCCTCAAACTTGCATGTTTAGAACTCAAGTCCCCCACGTGCCTCCCTTGGTCAGGGTGCTGGTTCCACAGGTGTGTTTCTTAGTTGTGAGTAGCACTGCCATCCATTCGGTGTCACCCAACCCAAAACCCTAGGAGTCGTCCGAGACTCTTCCCCCGAATCCCTTAGAGCCGTTTGGGAACCAAGCCCGTCTCAACTTTTCCCAGCCCCGACCCCCCTGGCCTAGTTCAAACCCCTGCCCGACACTGCAAGAGCCCCCTTCCTGGTGCCCCAAGCTCCCTCTGGCCCTGCTTCCCACTACTCCATCCTCTGTGTTGTAGCCAGAGTGAGTGTCTTTCCACAGCAAAGAACTGAGCCTGTCACTACCTAGCTTAAACCCTCCGGGGCTCCCTCATCCCCCTAAGGAGGCCACAGTCCTTGGAGGGCAGATGAGGTCTTCCTGATGGGGGCCTCTGTGGAATGTCACGTTCATACCTGGCCTTGCCCGCGTCACCACAACTCTATGACCCTGACCATCCTCGCCCCCTGGCAGCTCCCCTCAATGTGCCCTGCTGGGACTCGTCTCTCTGCTCACTCTGCTCCCTCTTCTGGATTGCTGGGCTGCCCTGTCTGCCCAGGGCGCACCTGCACATCTTTGAAGACTCAGCCTGGGTACCATCCGCTTCGTGAGGTCTTCCCTGCACTTGCCTGGCAGACGTGACCCCGCCCACCACACCGCTGAGCTCTCCAATTTCGGTGCCTGTGACTCTCATTGCATTGACCTGTTACGTGATTCTACCCTGTCCCTCTTCGAGTTCTTTTGCTCACACCCCTACTGAGGTTCCAGACTCTCTCTCCAGCACTCAGAGCAGGGCCTGGCATGTGATAGGAAGTCAATACATATTTGCCAATTGGGTTCTCTCCATACAGTTGTATGCAAATGCAAGAGGCGGATGGAGCCCAAAATTCTTACCTGGAAAATGGGTTAGGTTTCCTACACTTCCCTTTGGTAAGATGATTAAATTATTTTTAACTTCAGTGACCTTTCACCTCAGTTACAATTTATTGGTATCAGTGAATGGAGATGCAGCGAAAGACATTTATAAAAACCAACCCACCAACCAGAATCCTAACGAAAAAGCTTTTATTTTCAAAATGTCACAGATCATCAAAAGTCAGTGAAAAACATGCATCCCCTTTCTTATAGCTGAGTCCATAGTACACCATCTATTTCTCTTCTCTCTGGGAAAGCAGTGAAGCTTGGAGACTTTATCTTACTCTCACCCTTTTAATCCCAGGGTATTCGTATAACTATATCCTGAGACAGTTCTTCTTGTTTTAACTTTTTGTTGAAACATAACACACAGTGACTTCCCTGGCGGTTCAGTGGATAAGACTCCACACTTCCAATGCATGGGGCATGGGTTCAATCCCTGGTCAGAGAACTAAGATCCCACAAGCTGCCCGGCACAGCTATAAAAAAAAGAGTTGGGGGGAATATAACACATAGATAAGTGTACAGCTCATATAATTTTTACAAACTGTATACACCTGTGTAACCAGCACCCTGGTCAAGAAACAACTTAGCAGCAGCCCAAAGTCCCCCCATCAGGTCCTCTCTGGGTCAGTAATTTGTCTCCTCCTGACCCTGTTCTGAAGTTTGCAGTGGGGCAGGTGGAGTGTTGGGAGCTGAACCGACCTGGCTCTAGACACACTTGTGCCACTAACCACACACCCTCACTTTTAATAGAGATTTTACATTTTGAGGCAGGTCATTATGAGACTTCCTCTTGTTTTTCATGGAATTTTATTTCCTTTTGGGTTGCATTTCTGGTTTACAATAAGCCATAGTAGCTTAGTGTAACACAGTTTATGGAAGGGTTACTCTGCACAGGCACTGCACAGGCACTGTAAGCTCTTTCCATGTGGGTCTCAATCCTGACAACAACCCTATGAGGTAGGTAAGTATCCCTACTTTGCAGATGAGGAAGTGAAGACTCAGAGGAGAGGTTCAGTATGTACCTTGCCCTGCACCTGTGGCTTAACCACTCTACTCCTGAAGTCAGTTAACCCCGCTGCATTATTACAGCCACGAAAAACACCTAAGGAACAAATGGAGAGAATAACAAAACATTAAAATA